ATCTTTTGTGAGCAAGTTGTGCTCTCATTTCGAGTTTTTCCCCCTAATTACAAAGGTATCCAAAAACCGTTTTTGATTCGCGCTCTGAGACGCCTGAACACAGGCTTGATTTAGTCTCATGTCGCTCTCAAGGGGTGTTTTTGTAAAAGAATTCTTCATTTAGAATCTGTTTTTGTAATGACTTCACTCGGAAAGAATTTACTATTAGTAGTATTACAACATAGCTGGTTTATTTACATTAGTTTTCACCAAACCTTGCCATTAATCTTTCTAATTGGAAGTTAAAAACACTAAAATTTTACTGGTCGCACAAAAATGTAATCGTTCAATTTACATCCCGAAAAAAAATCATTTAATTTTTCATGTCGTCAAGGGACAGTCGCTTTAGCTAGTGTTATTTGGATAACACTAGTTTCAAATAAAGCATGGGCCTACTATCATGCGTGCCGCTTAGCAGGCGACTATTAACGCAAACAGAATAGTTTGTTTTTTGACATTTGCTACTAAAACTCAAACTGATGCGCGCTGCATCAAAATGAGTATCTATTTCAGTCGCGTATGTTAAACAGCACGCATAAAAGCTGCTACACCCCCATAACAGCAATACTCTACTAGTAACACAGTTTCTGGTATCAGAGCAGGAGTAGATTTTGGAATTTCTCAAAGTTGGAAGTTTTTTAGGATAGCGAAATTGATTTTGCGATCTCTGCCAAATCACTATAAAAGCAATCTTTCGACCAAATTTTCTGCGCCGCATGCAAATTTAAAAAAAAAACAGACCAAAAAGAGCGTTTTGAAGCATTTTTTAAAATGTAGACCAATAAAATAAACTCACCAATTAAAAATTATTATAAATTTGAGCCAATTGCACCTTTATAAAACTTTTATGGTCGGTCAGCCAAAAAAGTACCATAGGGGGACCCTTTGAGTCGAATCCCTGAGAAGATGAAGACTTCCCTCATCCTAAATCCGCTACTGTATCAATATAAGGCCCTGAATGCTCTGAATGACCTTCTACATGTCCAAAATAGTTTTTGGATAAGAACGGACCGGACGTTCATGGTTAATGTATTTTTTTTCAAGAGCTGATTTTTTTCCAACAAACCATTAAAACTTAAGGACGACTTTCTAGTATGCTAAGGTCCTAATTTTCTTGAAGCCTCCTGTAATTTAAAATTAACTAAATATAACAATGTCAGTAGCAGAAAAGAAGCTTATTTTATACGAAGGACTTTCATTAAAAGCGTTTAATAATTGATATATTTAGCTCAAAATAACATACGGACTATTTTCAAGCAGGGCTAGCGAAACAGTACAACATCTACTTTCACTATAACATCTACTTGACGCAATAATCGGTTTCGTCGCTAGTTTTTGACCTCTTTCGGGTTGTTGCACTCCAGGATGTTTTAAACGCTGAAATTAATCGACCAATTTAGGTACTTAGCTAATAAAACTAGGCAATCAAAACAAAAAAAATTGACTTATTTTTTAAAGAAAATTTCTGTCCTGAGTTCAAAAATAAAAAGATAATTGACTTGCGGTCATTTTTTATAAAGTTACCATTATACGCGCTTTAAATCTAATTAGTTTTAATGTCAGAGATATAAATAGCAGAAACAAAGCTATTGTGATAAGAGGGACCTTTGAAATGTACTTAAATTATTGATAATATATTTCGATCAACATCACATAAATTCCAGGATGGTTTAGACGTTGAAATTAATCGATCAATTTAGCTACTTAGCTTATAAAATAGGCAATCAAAACAAAAAATGGAATTATTTTCAATTTAATTTTTCGACGAGAAGGTAGTTGACTTGCGGTCATTTTCTATCAAGTTACCATTTTGCCATTTTCTGAACAAATTTATTCGCGCTATAAACCATTTTAATTTTATTTATGCTCCAAGGAAAATCGTAAAATTCAAGTTCGTGGTGGTTTTCTTGACCATTTAAGGTGTGAGAACAATAGTTTTTGACAGAACTTCATGTCACTCAGAAGATATCGAAACCTTATGATCAAAGTGAAAGGATATTCACTTCTAGCATATGGGGTTGTGGGGTTTTATAAGTTGTCAAGGTGGCTAATTTGATAGACTTTTAGTCTAGCTACGTATCCAAATCCTAATGCCACTCAATGCCCAATAAAAAAGATATCAGCTGTAAAAAAAAAGTAATTCCATGTTAGGTGAAAAGGTCATCACTAAAATCTTGATTAGTTTTGGTGAGGAGGAAAAACCAAAACAACGTTTTGTTCAGCTCCAAATGACCTATTGAACGTATGTACAGTGCAAGCCTTGCAATTTGTACAAAAAAATCCTTGCTGGCTTTAACAGAAACCTAAAATCACTTTGAAAATTTCTTCAATAAAATGTAAACAAATTGTCCTTGAGAAGTTTGCGTTAAAATAAATTACAAAAAAATCATAACAGGGTGAGTACTGTGACTAAAGTATTAAAGGCACTGATATTAGAGCTGAAAGCCACGCAAATTTTTGGCCCGTTGTTGATTTAGGGTAAACAATACGAAAGTTTCCATTAAATTTATATTTGTATCGGTTTGCGCAGAGTGGTCTGTCAGTGCCATTTTAGTACCAGTAAATCATGATCAGTGCCAAAAAAAATTCACCGCAACTCATTGAAAGTCGAAGTATTTTTTCTAAACAAATTAGTGTTTACGCTGGAATCGAAAAAAGACATCAAAAAATTAGAAAACTGTTTTGATGACTTTTTCTATTTCTTTTTGCATATCGGAGTGAAGTAAACTAAATTAAATTTAAAACGCATGTTCGCAAGAATATTTCAAAAAAAAATTAAAGTCGATTAAAAAAGCATCAATAAAAAATTAGAAAGCTATCCACATTTTCAAAGGCAGTTTTTAAACAGCTTAGATGGCAATATAAAGCCGACTATAAGACGAAGCTAAGCCGACATGACTTCAGCCAGTACTTTGAGCTCACTATAAGTTTATCTTGTAAGCAAGGCCGACTGAATTGAAGCCCAAAACCAAAAACTCACAAAATTTGATACACAAGCAAAAATATGACCGATAACGCTAATGCGAAAAACCGAATGAGTAAAACTTTGCGTCTACAAATTTTTTCAAGTGACGCACGCCAATTTTGACGCATTAGCAGTACCAGTCAATTCGAAAAAAAATTAACCAACTAACATGCCTCACTTTAAAAAGCAGTCAATCGAGCAGTAATAACATGAAAAAATTAAATGTAATAAAAGTTAAGTGAATTTTTGTTTTAATTTGAGAATTTTTGTGAAAATCATCCACCCGCACGCCATATTAAGTACAAATTGATTGATTTTGCTCCTAGCAACAAGCCAATTATGGCAAAAAAACTTCTTTCAACCAATTTGAAACGATCTCTAAGGCGGGTTAAATCACCGCTAACGCGCTTTTAGTGCAAAACATATCGCGCGGTAATTGCCCAATTGGCGATTTTTAAACCTCCATAATTGTACGCAAAATGATCACAGGTGAAATATTTTTCCAAATTTAAGCTCAGGACAACAATTCTTTTTGAATGATATATTTAAAAAATCCCGTCAAAAATGGCTAGTTAAAAAGTCAAAATTTGTCTGAAGAAAAAAACCACCCGAGCACAAATATTCCGTTACTTTCGTTACGAAAGTCGGAACAATAATTGTCTGTGTTAAACTCCTTAGCATTGGCTGTAATTAATAATTGGTTATTGATCAAAATGAACACTTTCAAAACGAACACATTTTATCGCAACAATTTTTGCGTCGCAACAATATTTGTGACTTAGTTTGGAAAAAAGAAGATAGATCATACTATAAAACAATCATTGTTTGTGTAGTAAGAAAATAAATAATACAAATGAAAACAAATTCATTAAATCGTTAATAAATTCAGCAAAATCTATGAACTTTGAAATTGGAAAACACATTGCGGAGAAAACCACCTGAACTTTCAAATAAAAATTTCTGCTGCAGGAACGATGCCAACAAAAATTTGGCGGACAAGATAACCCGAAAAGCAGAAAGTATCATGTTGGGAAAAATCGAGTTCCCATCCGGACTCAAAATTAGGACTTTGCCATCCAAAACATTGGCGTTACCGCAACACTAAATTGTCAGACTCCGTCATTGAATTTGAATGTGTTACACAGAAAATCTGCACTTCGCAAGCACAAGCCAAAAAACGTCAAGATATAGATCTAAAAAAACCAAAAACAAAGTGAAACAATTATAGCCTGTTACTATGCAAATAGCAGAGAATGTTCCGACCATAGCATTTTTTAAATTCAAATTATCTGTAGAAAAATTTGAATTTTTTGGTTCCCAAAATGGAGCAAAAAGAACTCTAAAAACTGATTTCATCTGCTTACAGCTCAATTTTAAGGGCATAAATTAGGTGTAGTAAAGCTGTTGTGAGCCTGATTGCTCGCTTTATCCGCTCGAATTAAGACAAACTCAAAAACTTGAAACCGGTTTTTCTCGACACTGGGAAAATTTTTTGGAAACTTTTTTAAGTCGATCGAATCAAATCTGAAAAGGCTTTAATGTTATATTTCACTCAACTTTCTCCGATGATTATTTCTGGTAACTGGTTTTGCGTGGAAAACAATCAAGAAATAAAACTAGAACACCCGAATACAAAGTTCCTCCACATTTTTCAAATGGTCGGAAAACAATTGAAGCCTTGAAAATTTTTGCAATGCAACGGACTCGAACCTTCAAGCTGCATACTAGGATTCTACATCCTCGCTACAATCGCTTGGAAGTAACCGAACACTAGTAGCAAATAACGCAGCAACGGTGCTATTAAATTGTTCGATTAATATTTTAAAAGGTACATTTCAAACGCTCAGATTTGAATCAAAAGATTCTAACTAAAAGTTTGCAAAATATGCTCATTAGCGGGGAATAAGGATTTTTTTAAATTTCCATAGTTTCTAAAAGAGACCATTTGCCTGACGAATATTGAGACTGAAAAAATTTCTCAGGTAACAAATGAGAGCAAAACAAAATCTTGAATTAAGATAATCTATTAAAGTCTTTTTAAATCTATTGTATGTTGCCAGAGCAAAAGTTCATTATCAAGCAGATTCTTGTGTAGCCATTTTGTTCAGAATTCTCTCCCTTCTCTTCAACAATCTCCTTTCTCTCTCGTATTCCTTCGCCTCCACCACCTGCTGTGCCAACTTACATCTGTTGAAAATCTCCAGGTAGAAATTACAATCTATCGCATAAGTTGTCGCCTGTTCTGCACACTTCTTGAACCTAAATATTCCACAAATGACAAATCTACCATAATTGAGCGACATCGACGTTCCATTTAGGTTCAAGCGTTCTCACATTATGTGACAACTTTTAAACGGAGGCGAAGCTGTACTTCAAACAATTGCAGCTTTACTGCTCTTTTGGGTCATAAGAAAGGGTAACACATCGAGGTGAAGCGGAGCTCCGCACAACTTGCGATACAATACGACAGCTAGCCGAAAGACACTGAGTCGAAAAAATGGAGAAAAAAAACAACGAACACTTTTATACGTTTCTCGAGTGCGGTTCAATAGGGAAAAATATACCAAGAAACACAATTTTCAAGGTCAAATAAGCACTAAAAAAGTATCAAGCGGTAACTAAGTAGATAAAACTTGGGTAGACGACCACTGAGCTGAATGCATTTCATACAAATTTAAGCTGTAAAAAGTTTCATAAATTGAAGCTTTTAGCCCCATGCAAAGCACTGACACAGAAATATTTTGTGTCCTTTCAAACGACTTAGCTAAAAAAGGAAATTATACATGATCGAAAAAATTCATTTACACAGAGGCGAAGTTGAGTTTCGCACCAATTGCGATACTAAAACAAAACTGATACAAAAAATAGAAAAATCTGCACGAAAATTCTTACCATCTGTTTGTTCGACTGAACTCTCAAGCTCAGATTTTGCAGGGTAGTTTTATAGAAATGTCAAAAAGTTTCCAAAAAACGATCTCAAAAATAAACAATCTTGCCTTTCCGAAAGCTATAGCTTTTGTATACCTAGATATAGGCGTACCCAGCAAAAAAAACTCCGAAATCTGTTATTCCAATTGAACCATTAATGAATTGGAATGGTAATTTTTTGAGAACAGTCAAAAATTTCCGAAAAAACGGTAAATTTTCAAAAATTTAACTTGCCCTAGGCGATTAGTTTTTTTTTCAGAAAAAAATAGGGCAAACTCGGTAAATCAGGGAGGACTGTCAAAATTCTTCATTTCGGCGAAAACTCAAAAAAAAATTAATTTCCCGAGAACTTACCCATATTTCTACAAAAACTCAAAAACAAAAGCCGCTTGCACCAGGAGAATTTCCACAGCCTGCTTTTTTAATTGAACCCTTAATTCGAAATATGAGTGGGTAATTTTTGGGAAATTTTTTAAAAAAAATACTGTCTAAAAATGGCCTTTATATTACCTTATTTTGTCTGACAAGGAATTTTTGCCCTCGAAATTTCGTAAAAAGAAAATGATTATGCGATAGAAACAAAAACCGATTAATCGGATTTTTTTAAATAAAAAAATCAGACTTGGAAAACCGACAAACTACAGAGCTTTCAATTTTAGTTAAAAAAATTCTAGCATCAAAATAAAATCCAAGCTTGAAAAAATAAGCCGACAACAAATAGTACCAGATAAAATAAATTCAATTTTAAAGAAAACAGAAATTGAACCGACAGAAACTAGGCCAAAAACAACGGGAAAAATTAAAATTCAACATTTTTTGAAAAAATTATTTAAATAAAAATTAAGCCTAGAACTGGACTACACCTATTTACTACCTAAATGAAGGTAGTTCTAATTGAATTTTCAGAAAAAAATTGTGCATGTCTTGAAATTTACCATTCTTAAAAAATAGACCATTTTGTGACCAAAGTTTCTTTCTGGAAAAAAGTCTGGTACCCGATTGCAATACCCTTGTTTATCGCTAGGGCAATAAGGAACGCTTAAATAAAAAAGTCTACGCTCTAGAATGTAAGCCGGTTAACATACGCAGACAACCGAGAGGCCGTCAATATTACCCAAAAGGAAACATTTTAAGCTTGCAAATCAAAGAAGTCCTGGCCGGATTCCGACACAAGAACCTTTATAGTCGCAGGGGTAGACGTTACAGACCTAAGCAAAGCGTGCAAAGATCAGAAAATAGAATTTCATATAAATCAAGCTATCAAATGATTCGTTGATTCTGTTCATTAAGTTGGTAACCTGAAAAAAAATCCACAAGTTTAATCACAAACAAAGCCTGTTTCGGTAGAATTTGAGTGATCTGGACTACGAAAATTGCCAGAGATCTCCGTACCTAACTAAATCAAGGGCGCAAACGTCTCTTGAGTTTCTATCTATCTCGCTCGTGACTAGTTCTTCCTTTGTCATTGGCGGTTGAATTGTCGGTCGTGGCTCAGCAAATCCATAATTGGGGTCAAAATAGGGCATTCCGCCTGGCCTTGGTGTCACCGTAACTTCGCTGAAGTTAATCTTATATGCTTGCCTGAGAAATTCCAACATTTTATAGTCTGAAATAAGAGTAAAAAGAGATGAGCTAGTCAATCTCCGTTTTTTAAATTTTACAGATCAAAAAGCGCTAAGATTGAAAAAATGATTAAAACACAATCAACTGCTATTTTAAAATAACAACGAAATACCTAGATGTAATGTTTAAAAACAATTTCAGCCTATAATACCATTAAGCAAATTTAATGAAAACTCAATTTTATTTCTTAAATTAAAAGATTCAAAATGAACATCAGATCAATGGGGTCACAATACATGTTCACACATGTCAAAATACAATCTTTTTTTTGTATAAAAAAATGGTTAGAACAAGAGTATTTGAATTTTATAACTAGAACATCAAACTTTTTTTCTTCAAGTTACAGCAAACAAGGTGAACTACTCCAATTCCAGCCAGTTACTTCTTCGCAACCTTCTTCGTTGGTTTCTTGGCATACTTGGCTTCCAAACTAGCCAAAAAGTTATTTTGATCTCTATAACGTTTTTCCTTGCCCATTAAAATTGCGGCAGTCAGATCTTCAAGTCCACCCTGATTCTCGATTTCCTCTGCTTCCTTTGCTTCTCTTTCATATTTTCGCTTCCTCGCGTCTCGCTTTTTCTTCGGTTCGTGAGTGAATGCTTTGAACGGCGGAACTTCTTCGCTGTCAATCATTTGCTGGATAACTTCGCGATATCGGTTTTCCTCGGAAATTTGCGCAAACATTAACCACTCAAAAATTTTGTCCATGTTACCTTCAAACTCTAGGTAGTACTTCTTAATGTCTTCTTTCTCCTCGCTTGAATTCTTGTACTTATTTTCGAAGTTGTCGATATCCTTTTTGGTAAACTTCGGGAAAACGCTCCGCCAGAAAGCCATGAAATTTCTCAACTGAGTTGCATCACTGTCGTCAACTTCGCCGGTTTCATCATAAACTTTTCGTTTCTCGTTGTCGGACAGTATTTTAAAGACCTTGTTCACTGTTTGGAACTTCAATGTAAGCAACTCTTGATCATTTGCCGCTACATTTCTGTCAGGGTGATATTGCAGAGACTTGTTGTAAAAAGCTTTCTTAATAACAGGCTGTTCTGCAGTTTTCTCAACTCCAAGAATTTCGTACAACGAAGATACTTGGAAGCACTTTTCACAATCTTCAATTAAACCCATATTACTCTAAAGGTACACAGAATTAATCAATTTTAGAGAACAGAAAGAGAAAACACTTTAATTAATATACACAATAGTCGTTGCGTTAGTACAGTAACAGTGTAAAGTTAAGTTAGGTACTAAGTGCATACTTATTGACAAAATAGGAAAAATATAGACAAAACACGTATTGAAAAAAAAACATGAAAATTAACTGTGGATGGTATCAGAAACCTACAGATACAGGTACCATGCTAAACTATAGAAGTTGCGCCTCCTTCAGTACAAGAAAAGTGTGATCGAAGGAACTTTTCACCGTGTTTTTCGCAGTACGTCTTCATGGGAATATTTTGATAAAGCGATGGAAATCAAGCGTAAACAGTGGTTGGATAACCAATATCCAGAAAATTGATCATCGCCTGTTGCATCGCGATCCCTTGAAAAGATCATCGGGCTAAAACAAAGAAAAAGATGTCTGAGAAAGGGAAGCCCTGTGATTATAGAAGCGATTTACCACTCATCTTGATGATACAAAATAGGGGAAATCAGTTAATTAAAATCCAAAGTGGTGTAGAGACTAGAATGTTGTGCGTGCAAATCCATCTATTTTGGCCAAACTGTCCAACATCTCACCACAAGGGTTGAAGAATACCTAAGAGAGGATACTCAAGTTGGACAGCATATCAGGCAGTGTGATAGTGATGTTGGTAAATTGAAATTTAATTGAAAGATAATCGCTCAGGGCCACAGCAGCATTATGTTACTGACATTAGAGGCGCTGCAGATTAAAGAAAAGAAGTCTGCAATTGACACAATTTTAGCGCAGTGATTTTAGAAGTAGGGCATATACATGGCATTCAACGGAGAGGGTGAGTTAGAGTAGTGTTATTTGTGTTGCTTTGTGTCACGTGAGGTTTATTCCTCGTGGCCTGCAAACCAATGAGCACAGTTGTACTCCCACCTGCAACCTTGATTTGGACTTTAAAAAACAAACTCTTTGGGAAATTAGTCCGTGATTATGCGTCTATATATGTTAAATTTATCAACTGTAACCAACGTGTTAAATTTTTGAGTGTTTGTCTAAAAAATGACATTATACCGGATTTTTTGAGGTTCAGGATACCGGAAAATGGGGCGTTTTTGAACCAAGCGGTACACAGTTTTCAGACAAAACTTCCAAGAACGGAGATTAACAGGGGAAGGACAGATGAGAAAAACGTTGAAGTCAAACTAGAAAGGGCAAGAGGCGCAGTACAGAAGGGTGTAGATGAGAAGTTTTGGCCTTCGGTAATGAAATACTTAAGTCTTTGGGGACAAAGACAAACAACAACAGTCAAAGAGACCCACCAGAAGAAGCTAATGAAACTATCAGAAAGGCAAGACTGAACTCTAGGGAAGCAGGGTGAGGGTTCGGTAAGAGCTCTTGATGATGTTGAATTATCAGATTGGGTACAACAAGTGTTGGCATTAGGGCCGAAACATCCCGTCGGGAATAAGTTTAATGAGACACACTTTCTCGCCGATATTGACATCTTTCTATCGGATCTCAAAAATCGTTAAGTCCACGGGGAGGCCGTTTGTGAGATCGAAGCTGTGGCAAAAAGCTATGGTAAAAGGGTGAAACAAACACCATCTGGCAGAGGCGTCGAGAAGGCCCGAAAGTATCTGAAGAGTAATGTATTAGTTGCGGTATGTATGACAAGGGCGTTGGTTTTTGTGTAAAGAGGAAGGACACCTACGAAAACAAGTTGACGGATACATTGGATTCAAATCAATTTAGCGAAAGTAAAAGAAAAAGTGATGCGATTGTTTTAAAGATAGAAAGAGACATCAATAAGGAGTTGTTGGCTATTGGAAAAGAAGACGAAATAAGTGAGAATCTCTACACAAGGATGAGGTTTACTGGGGGGCAGCCCACCGGGCTTTATGGGTTGGCGAAGGTGCATAAAGAGAATACCCCATTAAGACCGGTCCTCTCCTTGCCTGGTAGCTCTTATTATAACTTGAACAAAGTTCTTGCAAATTTTTTCGCTAAAATTGAAGGCGCAAACACCGAAACGAACTGACTAGATACGAGATAAACCTTAGAGAGCGCTAATCTTGAACCCAATGAAAATATGATATCTCTAGATGTGAAGAGTTTGTATACAAATGTTCCACTGAAAGAAGCATTAGACATAGCTCTGAGAAAGCTGCATGAGCAAGATGAACCACCATGAATTTCTAGGAAAGTGTTGAACATGGCAGTTAGTCAAGCCCATGAAACAAGTGCAATGAAACATGGTACGTTCAGAAAGATGGTTTGGCAACGGGGGCATCTCCTGCCATTATTTAAGCAAATCTTTGGCTGAAACAGTACGAAACTGCACTATCGAGGGATATTCCCGAAATGTTTTTGCCCGAAAAAGATCTTAACGGAATATGTCTCGAGTGCATTAAGAAAGTCACGTACAGGTCAAAAGGTGTAGAATGTGAAGGCTGTTTGAACTGGTATCACGTAAAATGCGGTGATATATCAGATGATGAGTATCGAAATACAAAAAAAAAACGTCTGGTACTGTAGAAAATGCATCGCAAATAGAGAGAAAAATGGAGAGAAAAATGAAAAATAGAGAGACTGTGCCAGTCGGTCATGTCTGGGGGTTTGACCTTGAGAAATACGTAATTTTGGAGTGAAATTTTAATTTTGCAAAATTCGAATCGAGCCTGTCATGCTCAATTTTCTCGAACCAACTGAAAATGAAAAAGTCAAAAATCAGAACACCCGAATTAACAATTGCGGGAAACTACTCAAGAAAAAGGCAGGAAATTGCTATTCGCAATTTCTCGATACGAAATATCAAGAGAGTAGAGCTGTCTTGTTCTGAAAACAGGAGAATCGAATACGGACTTGAGACAGAACAATTATTCGAATGGAAAGGAGTGGACTCTGAATGGAAGAGTGGACAACTCGAGTGTCCAAAGGGTTCATTCAGAGACTTTGATTCTAGAGACAAAACTTACTTCTGTTATTGAAACTAATTGGCCTTAAAACTTATTTAGTTATATTACTTAATTCTCAAGCTGCTCAGTTATAACTTACTCCTCATATTCAAGTGCGTCGATATGTAAGTTCCAATTTAAATTTCTCGAGTGTATTTTATGATAGTTATGTTGAGATAAGGCGAGTTTTAGGTTGATCCATCTGAAATGGATCAAAGTCCCACTGTCCAATAAAAAGTAACTAAGCGGATTGTTCCGACCCGGTTTTTAACGGCGTTCATGTATTTTGGGTATCCCGAGACCTAAGTATGGGGACGTTTTTATTTCTAGAGTGGGGGGGTATTTTGGTAGTGGCCTTTAAGCTGTAATGGGTTCCAGTCTCATGTCGCAAGCGAACCGAATTGGCTCCGACCGTTCTTGAGGCGGAAAAACACAAGAGATAGTGTCCCTGACTCTTGAGCCAATGGTTATAGGGCCTATTTTTCTTAAGCCTCATATGTGACTAAAGTAGGCGACTGTTACATAGTGTTTTTATGGCGCTCCTGGGTGTTTTTACGACATCATGACTACGGAGTCGAACCCACTTGACACAGCTCCGGGCTACATGCCCATTCTAGAGTACCGGTGGTACGGTTCAGCGGGAACGTGTAAACCTTCCGGTTGTACCGTGATAGCTTTTTAAGAAAACTCAAGAAAACTTCCTGGTACGCTCTCCGAACGAGGCTTAGCTAACCGAGTAAAGGGGGGCAACTAGGGGGACAAAAACACGAGCAAAAAAGGAAAACAAATAGGAACAAAAACTATAAAACGAAAAAAGACAGTGACTTTGATACCAAATTAGTTGGATCGAACCTTTGTATTAATTAAATAGTATACACATACTGTTTTACAAGACCGATCGTTTCGATCAATCTAGCAATTTTTCGATCAACTAGCAGTGACCTTGGTAGGGTGCCCGAGTGGGGGGCGTTGTTAAGGGTTTTTAGATAGATTGCGACCCAACCGGACCACTGGGAGACTTGACTGGAAAGGGTGACCAGTCGAGTGGGAAAGAGGTTCACAAGGATCGAAACGGACCACCAAGAGACTTGATTGGAAGAGGTGACCAGTCGAGTGGGAAAGTGGGTCTGCTGTCAAGGGCAGAACAGAGACAACCAGCACAGGGCCACCACAAGAGGACGCACAAGGGTGTTCTCAGGTCGGACAACGGGTATCGTTAGAATCCACATTACATTATAAGAAATAAGTGTAAAATTGGATAAGCGGAGTCCCATTGTTTTGAGGCAGTTTTTACTCAAGCAGACCTGGAAACAGGTCTACGGTTTTCTCAAGAGAGGTTTAGCACCCGGCGCTTAAGGGATTTTTCGGCTTAAGAGGGGGGCTAAACAGGGGGGAGGTTAGCAGGGGGACTGGTTAGGTTAGAGGTTGGCGGTTGTAAATTGTAAAAAGGGGGGAATTAGAGTAACTAGTTAATCGACATCGTTGATTTAGTTACATTAGCCATCAACACGCGTGGTAACAATAGGTGGACATCCAAAACTTATCTCGAGTTAAGATTGGTACGCTGGTTGGATCGGTAGGGGGGAACGGATATAGACAGTTTTCGTGACACCTCATAAGACAACTAGTGGGGGGAGGAAAACGCGTGGCAATTAGGTACCAGACATTTTTTTTGAAAGAAGGTTGACATTTGTCTCCTTTGAATTTTAGGTGGGTTGATTACTCTGTTTTGTTTTTTTTTCGGTATAAAATTTTATTTTTTCTATATACACTGTTGCGTTTTGGGGAAGATTTGCGATTGGTTTTTAATACAAACAGGTGATCACAAGATACCTGCACACAAGTTTTGGCTCCCAATTGCTGGGAACATTCAAAAAGAGGTAACTAAAAAAGGGGGGCCAGATTTGGCAACCAAGAGAGGGTTTTTGGGAAAATTTTCACTAGAGCTTGAGTGGTGGTACAAGGTACAGACAACCAAGAAGTCCCTACAACGAAGAAGAAAGAAATCCTATATCCAGACACTCAGTGACAAGTCTTGGGACAGTACCGAACTAGTCTAGGGACATT